TATTTCAAAATCAATGTCCCATAGTTCAAACTTAAAAAAGAATATGAAGGTAAAAGATGAATTAATATACTATTATTTTAAACATTACTTTAATAATAAAATATTAAATCATGGGTATTATAAAATATCCATTAAAAGAAGTATTCTTTTATAATATTTGAAAAACTTAATCATGAATTAAAATAAAAGCAATTAAATTACAATAATATTGGGAACCAACATTAAAAACACAAGATTAACTAAATATTGGTATTGGTTCAAAATTTTATATTGGATATAAACAAAATCTTCTATTTTTTGTTTTAGTATTGCTATTTGGTTTAACTTCGAATTGTTAATAAGTTTTAAGAATAAAATAGTGATTTTAAAAAACTTTGTTTAAATAAATATGTATTTTTAAATATATATATATATATATATACGGAATAAAACTATAAAGTAATATTGTTTTAAAGAACTGAACCTAGATATTTTTCCTGATTCCTTTTTAAATGATAATTCCGAATTCTAAAAAAGATAAGAAATTGAAAAATTTTCTTTGGTAATCATAATTTTAATTTTTAATGTTTTCCTTCCTTGACAATAAACTTAGTGTGGGATTAAATAATGCAATTAAATTTTTAAAAGATTTCTCTTCAATTATTGAAAAAGCTAAGTTATTTTCAATAAAAAATTCAGGCATTAATAATATTTTAATTAAAAAATTATAGACTATACATTCCTCAAAAATGAAAGAGATTAATGAGCATTTGAATAGTAATTTTAAAAAAATTTATAGCCAATCAAATCACACTTCTTGAGTTGCAGAATCCATCTTCATCAAAATAAAAATAGCAAAATAAGCTGTTGATGAATTATTTTTAATTTTGTAACAGAAGAAATACAGCCATTTTCAACTGTAGAAAGAGTGTGTTAAGTACAGCAAAAGCTGTGGTGAGTACTAGGTGCTCTTGTTTGACTGATCAAAATTTTGAAAATCAATTGTTGCTAAAAATAAATAAAAAATTATAACAAAAATATGTTATCTTATATATAATATATTATTTTTGTATAATTTTATTTATATTATAATAATATATATGAAAATTTTTTTTTATAAAAAGATCTTATTGCGCACAAATTGAACGTTGCAACGCAGCGTTTCAAAACGCATATATAAAAACGTAAACGCAGCCTTGTTTAAATTGATGTGCTAAGTTTAATTTTAATATTAAACCTTTAAATTTAAAACAAAAAAAATTACTTGCCTTATATTTCCTTAAAAAAAATAAAGAAAGGAAGAGGAGCAAGACATCTCAAATATATGTTAAAAGAAATCTTTTTTTCTGAATATATAAATAATAAAGGCGATTAAACACATTCTCAATTTTATAATTATACAAGATGAGGTAAAATAAATTTAATTCATTATTAATTATTTATATAATAGGTATTTATGGTGTATAATTTGCACAAATTGCTTATAGCTCAAGGATTTCAAAATCCTGTATAGCTTATATTGTGAAATCAGTGTGCACAGCAATTTGGAATGCTGCTGTACATATTCACATGACTAGGCCTAATAAAAATGATTGGGAAAGGGTAAATTTATTATAATAAATCAAGATTAATATTTTCTTATCTTTAGTTTTCCCAGATTTCTGCTTCAATCAAAATTCCCAAATTGTTTTGGGGCTATAGATGGAAAACATATCTATATCAAGAGCCCTCTTAATAGTGGCTCATAATTTTTTAACTGCAAGCATAGATTTTCAATTAACCTATTAGCCCTAACAGACATTAACAGAAAATTTATTTATATAGATGTGGGAGCATATGGAAAGCAGAGTGATGGTCGAGTATTTAAAAATAACTCTTTATATAGAGGTTACATTATATTAATTTTATTATATCTTAAAAATATATTAATAGTTGGTGAACCATACACTTGATCTGCCTGCTAATCAACCAAATTAGATACAGCAATGATAAACCTCACTACAAGACCTTTCTTACCTAGCAGATGAAATAATTCTACTTCAATGGAATCAAAAATTATTAAAGACAAATATAAAAATTTATAAATTATTAAAATTTTATATTGTATTAAATTTATTTATGAAAATATTTTATATTAAATTGTGTTACATATTTAATTTTTATAGACAATTATGTTTTAAATGATATAAATAAATAGATTGAATATTAAGAAAAATTTATTTAATAAATCCTTATTTGGACACTATTATTCTAGGTGTAGATTGAGTTATTTAAAATCTTGTGGATGAACCTCAAACTTAAAATAATATTAATTCTAATATCTTACAACATGTTACAAACATATTATAAAACTTCTATTAAAAATTAGATATAGGTACTAAATATTTAAATTTATATAAAATTATTAAACACCATATATCTTTATATTTTTAAAATTATGTTTTCATCAAAATAATTATACAGATACAACAATGATAAACCTCACTACAAGACCTTTCTTACTTAGCAGAGATTAAATATTTTATAAATTATTAAATTGTGTTACATATTTAATTTTTATAGACAATTATCAATATGTTATTAAATGATATAAATAAATAAATTGAATATTAAAAAAAATTTATTTAATATATTAAATCTTAATTTGGACACTATTCTAGGTGTAGCCCATTAAGCTATTTAAAATCTAGAGGAATGAACCTTAAACTTAAAATAATATCAATTCTAATATCTTACAACATGATACAAACATTTATTAAAAGTTTATAAAAATATATAAAATACATACAATACATTTTTATAAAAAACAAATAATTTATATGCTATTAAATATGTCTAATGGAGATACATTGGCAGGTTGTGGTGATATATCATTTGTCTTGCGTGAGATAGTATATATATATATATTTTATAACATCAAGGCCATTCAAAAAATGCCTAAATAAAATATAAATAAATTTAAAATATAAATTAGCTTTACAGCATCCCAGCTGGGCTTTCTTCCAAAACATTGGATTTACAAATATAGATGATAAGTAAAATGAATATAAATTTTGGATCAATATTGGATAAGCTTTGTAGTAACATCAGAACAGAATTTGAGGATTGACACAGCTCTACTTTTTATTTTCCAAGTAGTTATTATACCAATAAAATAAATAACATGCATATTTAATTAAGTAGGTTTTCCTATTTTCTCCGTATTCAGCTGATACTTGAAATTTCTCATGAAAAAGAGTTCAGCATTTCTGCAAACCTTTTGGTAATTTCATCTTCTAAAAATATTGTTATATCATTTAATAATTATTATTCTTACAATTTAGAAGAATTTTATCACTTCAAAATTTAAAAAGTTTCAAAAAAAGCAAGCAAGTTTGTCTTTTAAAAAATAATTTAAAATGAAAAACGGAAATGTGCTCAATTTGAACGAATGCATTTAAAATACATTGTTTGCATTTTGAAACGCTGCGTTGCAGAGTTCAATTTGTGCACACTATTAGCCTATTATATATATTCTTTTTGTATAGTTTTATTTATATTATATATATTTAAGGAAAAAATTAAATTTTTTTTTGTATATAATATTTAATTTTTTAAGTAATAAGTAACCCGTTACTTTTTAAAATAGTCAGAAACACGTGTTCCTTTTTTAAAAAGGTAATGAGTAACAGTAACGCGTTCCCTTTTTCAGACGTAACAAGTAACGATAACATGTTTCTTTTTTGTAGTAATGCCTATAGCACTATATTTTACAAATAATTAAATTTTATTACATAAAAGTTTTGAAAAATTTATAAGATAATATTTTTTATAAATGAAATATTTTTTATTCTTTATATTATATTGTATTTATATGTATCAAAATAAAACTAATTTTAAATAAGGCTAATATATTTTAAAAAATTTATAAGGCATTTATTTATATTAAATTAAATTTTTTATTCATAAAGTTAGAACAAATGTGAACATGTTCATGAATGTTAACACATTTCTTTTTTGAGTTGGACTTGAACACACTATTATCAATGAACATTGAGCACATTCAATTTTTTAAGAAATGTTTGCAGCACTAATATATTTTTAACAGTAGTGTAAATATATTTATTCAATATTTTATTTATCTAAAGATTGATTTTTTTGTTATAACTACTTTGTTTATTAAATTCAAAAATTTTTTTAAATAAATATATAAACAAGAAGCAATCCAGCTATTTAAAAAGAATAGACCAAATAAAAATGGATCATCTGGCTGAGACCAGGTTTGATATATTTCTAATTATTTTATTTGATTTTGAAAAAATTTTATTTTATTCATTTATATAATGTAAAAATGGTCTTCAAACCTTGTTTAAAAAATTTCAAAACTTTAAGAAAAACTAATACTAATCACATTAATTTTTCATTCCATTAATAAAAGCTTATCATAATTTTTGAATAATTTTTAAAGTTTTTAAATTAAATTTTTTTATTCAAAAAAAATATTTCACATTAATTTTTCATTCCATTAATAAAAGCTTATCATAATTTTTGAATAAATTTTAAAGTTTTTGAATTAAATTTTTTTATCTTTACATATAAAATATAAATTCAAAAAAAAATTAAAGGATTATTCATTTATAAAAATAACACAATCATGATCCTCATTTTTAAAGAGAATTATGAATCCAGGCAATTTGCCAAAATAAGGTTTGAATACAAGATATTACCAATCTTTTAATAACTGACTATTTTTCAGGTCAGATTGACCTGATAAACCTTTTGACTATTTAATGTTTGTATGATGTATTATATAGTATAACCTTGCAAAGATAAATGAATTTGCATTAATATATTGTTTAGTCAAACCTTGCAAAGAAATAGTTTGGTCAATAAATATTTAAATAAACCATTTGAATTGCTTAAATTGTATATATATATATAGAATAATATTTTTTGGATGAGTTAATAATATGCTTAAAAATATATATTTACTAATTATAAGTTTTAATCATTTACACGTCAAAAACTATATAAATCAATACCCCTTTCTGTAATCTCTTTTGTAAAAAGTTTGAGGATAAAGGTTTGTTTGAAATTTGATATTTTGCCTTAAATTTCTGTTCAGCCTTTTTAACATCATCGGCGTCATCGCTTTCTACTTCATATTTTTCTTCAGTAACGGGGGCACTAAGATTCTCTTCTTTAATTGCTGAGAACATAATACTTTTTGGAATATGGATTGTTCTGCCTTCTATAAAATAAGATGATCTACATATGTGTAACATCAAGGTAACTGATAGATATCAATCAATATTTTTTTAATTTGAAATGGCGTTTATAGGTTTATGCAACGAAATTATTGTACTTGTTTATACAAATTCAAAATATTTCAAACAATATCTTTAGAGTTTAATAATATTTGTTTGGGTTCTTTTTATGTAGGAAATTTAATGGTCATTAACCTGCTATGAGAATATTGAGAATTATCAAATTATAAATGATAAAAATGAGATTCAATTTAGTTTTTTTTTGGATATGAAGAATAATTATATAGTTTAAAAGGACTCTATACTACTAAATTATTAATATTTTTACTATTTTTTGTATAATTATTATTAATATAATTTATCCTTTAATAATTAAATTTTATATTCATTCAATAAAGATAATCGATTATTTTTTGTTATAATTATTTATAATACTTAATTTTCCATAAATTAATTTTATATCCTTAATTTTTTATCTCAAACTAGCTAATAACCCGTCAAGAATGACGGGGAATTAGAATTTTCTCCTTTATAACTATTTTTATATCTTTAAAAACTCAATCTATTAAAGGATGATAGATATTAGGGCTCCCAGGTTCTTAAATATAGTCGAGACATCCCGGTGCTTGAGATATTTTCTTTATTGTCAATAAAGGACACAAATATACACCTTGCTCACATTTAAAAGATAAAAGAAAATTTTACCCAATCATTAAGATTTATTACATGGAAACAATGTCTCTTATTGGAACCCCAAATATTACATTATCCACCAGAGCTCCTGTTAGTCAGCATTTCTGTTCACTGAATGAATAAAAGAAGGAAGAAATAGAAAAAAAGAGACAAAGATATGAATTATAAGAAATATAATAATTGTGTATACCTTAAGACTTAACGATTATGGGGTTCCAACACATATACATTTGTAACCATATAAAAAAATATAACATAGTAAAATTTATTGATAATGATGATGGTATCGTGTATATGATGTTTTTGGTCGATGTAGTGTCGTTTTTTTATTTCATTTCTATTTAAATCGTCTTAATTCTCCTATATTGAAATGGTTTCTTACTATTATCCTTTTTTGTTTTATATATATAAATATATTTTGTTTTTTTCTATTTTTACTTACGGTAAGTTTTTTATTTCCTTTTATTATTTCTTTCACGCAACATACATCAATTAAAATTTACAAAATAAAACATATCATAATAATTTTATTTCTTTTGCTTCCATTATATATTCACTTTCTACCCCCTCATCGTTATTCATCACAAAACGAAAATAAAAATAACAATAATAATAATAATAAACAATTTTTCCCTTTTCGATAAAAAAACCATAATAATAATAATTCTTTCCTTTTTGATTAAAAAAAACAATAATTATAATAATTAATATAACTTTCATAATGTTCCTCAATAATGTTCCTCGTTATTTCTTTCATAATGTTCCTCGATAATGTTCCTCGCTAATGTTCCTCGATATTGTTCCTCGACAATTTCCTTGCTCGTAACTTGCCGGAAATAACTGGAAAGAAAACGTGTAAATTGGAAGTATAAAATAAAATTTACTGATGATGTTGGTATCATGTCTATGATGTTTTTGGTGGATGTAATGTCGTTTTTTGATGAATTAACTTGAAGCTACAGAATTACGTCCTGATATACGATATTAAGAGTAAATACTCTATTATCATTCAAAAGTGTGCCCTGGTATTTTGTAGGTAATATTTTTATTTTCATATTTTTTTTTAATCAGCAACGTGTTAGAGCGACATAGAGCTGACCATGGGAAAACACAGGTTCAGGAAGAAAGAGGCCGACATTGTCGAATGTTTGACCTTGACTTTTGTTTATAGTGATAACAAAAGCAGGAATTATAGGAAATTGGCGTCTTTTTAATATGAAAGGCAACCGGGAATCGCTCGGGGAAAGATCAATTCGAGGAATAAAAACGCGATGGCCATTATGCGTCCTTGATAATATTTCAGAATCTATGAAATTATCATGTAAATTTTTGATAAGAAGTCGTGTCCCATTGCATAAGCCTCTGCTGGGATTCATGTTACGAAGAAGCATTATTATTGTCCCAACTTTAAGATTTAAAATATGAGGAGGCATTCCTGATGGGGTTTGAGAATGAAGAAATTCAATGGGGAAATTAAGTAAATCCTCAGGATTATCTGTTTGTATAGAATCAGCGCTAAGATATATCTTAGAATTTCTTGGTAGTTTTTGAATAATTTCGTTATTTAAATTTAGGGCTATGTTATTTTTAGTGGTTAATATAATTTTTTTAGAAAATAGGTTAATATCAGATATTTGTATGGAGTCTCCATATATTGATTTGATTAATGAATTTTCTAATAATGAATTTGGGATTTCAATCGAATCTGGAGGGAGTAAAGGATTGGAAACATTTGATAAAGATTCTCCAACATTCAAAAGCCAGGAATTATACTCAACATCTTCAGAAGATAACCGCATATTTTCATTCAGGTGGATAACTTTAAAATAAACCCATAAATCAGAAGACTTAAGACACGATTCAATAATATATGCTTTTGAACTGTTTGGAATGACAGGTAAAGTTTGCCTAAAATCGCCGCCAATATAACTTTACCACCGAATGGGAACTGTGTTTGCATTATATCTTTAAGTAATCTATCGATACAGCGTAAAGCGTATTTAGTCATCATTGTGGCTTCGTCGATAATAATTAATTTGGACCTTTTAATAACAGTAGCATCAGGGGAATGAAGACTCATGCGAGATACAGAGTTATCAACAATCGGAATAGGTAATTTAAATCCACTATGTATTGTTCTACCCCCTTTTAAAAGAATAGCGGCAATGCCTGTTGTTGCAAACGGTAAAACTATTTGGTTGCGTCCTCTAATGTAGCACATTAGGGTATTATACAAAAAAGTTTTTCCCGATCCACCTGGACCATCAATATAAATTCAACGCTGAGGAAAATCATTATTTTCGATAGATTGAACGATTAAATCAAAGGCTGATTTTTGTAAAAAATTTAATTTAGTAATTAGTTTCAATGCCTCAGCTGCCTCAAGATAATTATTATAAAAATCATCCTGAGCTATTAAAGTAGGAACAGGCAAATTGAAATTACTACTACGAAAACCATGGTCGTGCAATACTTTTCTATATCTGATAAGGCCATATTAATTGCAATAGAATCTGTATGGGTATGTGCGAAATCTTCTATCAAATATTTTTTAAATTTTTCCCAGAGGTTATTTGGATTTTCTGGCTGACAAAAAATACAAATAAAGGCAAAAGATTGACGCAACTGTATGGGCATTAAAAATGTTGACGCTTCTTCCATAAATGCTTCCCATTCCTTGTCATCAACCAATAAATTTCTTTTAAAAGCCACCTCTTTAAAAGTATTATATAAAACTCCATTTACAGTTCTCAAATATTCAAAACTTGTGGCGCCAACAACATGAAGTAATAGTAAACGTAGGAAAAATCTCTCTCCGGATTTAGGATCAACAGTATACATCCTTGAAATTATATTGTTTTGTCTTTGTCTAAGTTTCCACTTATTAGCGCTGAAAGTATAATGATATGGTATAGTGACATATAAATATTGATGGGCATTAACATCATTTTTATTTAATTCAAACCAGGCAGTTAATGTAGTATTTTTGCTGGCAGATTTCTCTAATGCCTGACGTTCTTGTCCTTCTATAAAATATACCGGTTGATGAAATGGCAAGTGTATTGCTAATCGATTTATACCGTGAGATCGATCATGCATACGATTTTCTAATAATCTCCACATGGCTTCACATGCACTTACATATCGGGCATTTATATGCATTCTAATTTCATCATGAGATTGAAGCGAATTAGTTTTAAGATCTATATTAGCGCAGTCGTATCCTTAGTAAACGTACTTAAAAATATATTTGACGGATTTTATTGATGTACATATTTCAACATTTATGTGTGCATTAAATTTTAATAATAGATATTTGTTATAAGAGATTACGTATCGATTATCAACTGGCTTACCTCCGACATGAATAAAACCCTTATCTCTACGTTGATAAAATGGATATCCATTCGCATTGTGTTGAGATTCTTTTTGAAAATCTTTCGGAAATTTTTTTGTACACGAACCATTTTCCATGCATGGTGAGTGAGGATTCAAAATACCACATGGTCCATGTATCATAAAGCGAGTTAAAATATTATATAATCGGGGTTCGATATTTTTATCTGGGATTTCAGCTAGAACAAAATTATCTATACACTCGGTTGATTCAATTTTATTATTTTCGCTTAATATAATGAGCAGATGAGTATGAGGTAATCCTCTCTTTTGAAATTCTATGGTATAAACATACGCCGAACATTTGCCAAAGAAATCTTTTTTAATAATATAGTGTAATAATTCAGATAATTTTAAATGAAAAACTCTAGCTAATAAATCAGGTCTATCCGAAGGGTTCTGTCCTTTATAAAGATTTTCTTTAATTTCCCTCCAATTGGGATTGCATGTAAAAGTTATAAATAAATCAGGCTTACCAAACTTAGAAACGATAGCCATATCATCATGATATCGTTCACGCATGTTTCTTTAGGACCCCTGAAATTAAGAAGGCAAAATAACGGCTCTTCCTAGAGGTAAATTAGTATTATCATTTGCTTTAGAAATATGATCCATAAGCCCTGAATATTCCTCTACACGTAATTTTGATTGGTTTAATTTTATATAATTCAAATTATTAGCTTCGACTTGGAGGTAAGAATCAACAACATATTGATGAAATAATCGCCCAGCATAAAGAATAAGATTAAAAATGTTAGCACGAATGGCTAACCTTGATATTTTAAATTGTAACATAGTTATATTTGATCTTGTTCCCTTGTTAAATGGCCCATTAAATTTCATATCCGTATGCCATCCATGATCACCATAAGGAAATAGTAAAGGATACACCATAGGATCTAAATTTGGGCTAAGAATATTTAAGATAACTAAATTTGAATCATCATTTCGTGGATAAACTTTAACATCACGTTGAAAAGGTGGTTCTCCATCATCGTTATTAAAAATCATTGCTACTTCATCAATAGTAGGAATATTAAATCTTCTTCTATCATTAGCACGATCACGGCGAAAAATCATATTTACCTTTGATATAGGACGGTTTTCTAACCTAGCTTTCATTTCTTCGGCCTTTTCAACCTCACCCAATGTTTTAAAGCTAATAGCATATGGATTTATTTGACGAATTAAAATATCAAGTTTTTTTAATAAATGAATATCACAGGCTGAATTTTCTTTTAAAAGTACACGATTTTCAATAGCCTGAGATGTTTCAAGAAAATATAATTGTGCATATTTTGGGGAAACGCCATTAGGAGGATATAAATATGAAGTTCGATGATAAATTTGACAATGAACCCTAAAACAGTATGGACCTTTATTTAATAAATTATCATTTTTAGCCCTCGTGGCAAAGGCCAAGGAGCTGTTGTATGAGCGGATATTCTGAGAGAAATTTTTATAATAATTAATGTCTAAATTTGAAAGTAAATCTTTTAAAAAATCTGGATATTGTAGAGAAGGCAATAAAACACGACCTTTGTGGCAGCAATTTATAAATTTTCCATCAGATGGTTTTTCAGAAATAAAATTTAATGCATTACAATATGGGCATAGAATATTTAATGGCCCACAGTAATGTTCAACTTGTTCTTGATTTTCAGTATCTTCAAGATGATTGGATGTTGAAGCAAATTGTTTATTTCCAGTATCTTCAAGATACTTGGATGTTGTAGGATTAGGACTTGGTTCGTTACTTTTCTTGCTACGACAAAGTGCCTGTCTCTTTCTAGCTTTCTCCTTATGTTGATTTATTATTAAAATTTAAAAATATAAGAATTACTCAATTTTATAAAAATAAGTTTAGTTTAAAATATTTATTATTGTGGACATAAAATAAAATTACTAAATATATACTTCATAAACATATTTATAAAAAATAATGGAAAATATTAGAATAGCCCCTCACCTAATAAATATATATTTCGGAATCACATCTTATAAGATAGGAAAAATCTGATTCCTCGTCATTCTTGACGGGCTATCAGCTAACATACAATACAAATTTAAAAAAATATAAAATTTACTCTTGTTGAAGCAATAATGCCTTCTTTAGATTTTGGTAGTATGAAACGTTCCATTGTTTGGTTTTGTTGAATGGTATCTTGTGTAGGAATCTAAAATAAATAATAAAATAGATTTTAATGGCCCACAGTAATGTTCAACTTGTTCTTGATTTTCAGTATCTTCAATATGATTGGATGTTAAAGCAAATTGTTTATTTCCAGTATCTTCAAGATGGTTGGATGTTGAAGGAATAAGACTTTGCTCGTTCCTTTTCTTGATACGACAAAGTGCCTGTCTCTTTCTAGCTTTCTTTTTATGTTGATTTATTATTAAAATTTAAAAATATAAGAATTACTCAATTTTATAAAAATAAGTTAGTTTAAAATATTTATTATCGTGGACATAAAATAAAATTACTAAATATATACTTCATAAACATATTTATAAAAAATAATGGAAAATATTAGAATAGCCCCCAGGGCCGTAGCCACGGGGGGGGGGGGGGCGGCCCCCCAAAAAAAATTTTGGCCCCCAAACCTGGTTCCCAGAAAAAATCTTCGGCCCCCCAAAAGTGGCCCCCAAAAATTTTTCTGGCCCCCCCAAATTTGAATTTTTTTTTTAGAATTGATTATTTTTATATTTTTAATATAAATTTTAAATATTTATTCAAAAATATTCAAAAAACATGTCTATTTAGAATTGATTATTTTTATATTTTTAAAATAAATTTTGAATATTTATTCTACAAACATATCTAGTTTGTAAAATTTTTTTTTATCCTGTTTTATTTTTATTTTTACCCAATATTAAATTATCATTCATTCATTTTTTTCATCTGTTTTTGTTGTGTATCACATTCTCTATAGGTATCACATTAATATTATAATATATAACCAGTTATTTTATTTTAGAGCGTTTATTTTAAAATTATGAAGAAACAATCAATTATAAACTCTTATTTTAAGTTAAAGTTAAACAAATGTCAAGCAACATCACCTCTACAAACTACTAGTAATACTACATCAGAAATTTCAGAAACTGATTCTTCTCATAGTTAGTATAAATTTATATTATTATTTCATGACTTATATGATATTGATATAGGGAAAAATTTGTATATTATTATTTAATATAATATATATATTTTATATAAGATAAGAGAAAGACATTTATTATTAATATTATCATTTTTGTATAATAATTTTAATTATTAAAATAAATATATTTACTCATATTTCAAGATATGAATGAAGCTAATCTAGAAAATCAAGAGGATGAAGATGGTAAATAGTTTAAAATTTAACCCAAATTTTTCTATTTATATATTTTTGACAATATGAATAGGAGTAGGAGATTATGGTGTTTCATTATTACATTTTGATTTTAAAACAAATAAAGACGAAGAAGAGACTCAATCATCTTCATCTAGCAGCTCAGTCTCTCATTGTCAAGAAGCAACTAGTAATTGATTTATAAATATAAAAATCTTATATTTTTTTGTTAATCTTTAAAGATATAATGTTTATGACTTTTTTCTAGTTTTTAATACTGAAATTTTACTGATCAACTTTACTGATAATCTTCATCAGGGTTGGGCACTACAGTAACTTGTATCTTAAATACAAGATAAATTTTGTGTTTGTTCATTTTCAGCATGCCCTTCCTTCGCCCATCCTGATGACCATTATTATTTATGACCCTTTCCCTCATTACAATTTATTAATTATAATATTTTTAGTGTCAAAAAAGTCCTCTAATGGTTCAATTCAAATCCCTGGTGACCTTGGCAGAATAAACCAAATCAAATCAAATTAAACAATTACGCGAAAAAAGATATCCATGGAAGGCAAAGATCATTTTAAAAATCATGGTATAGAGGCCGAGACTGGTTGGAGTATAGTGTAGAAGCTGACGCTGCCTTTTGTTTTCCATGTAGGAAATACTTGTGTAATCCAAGTGATGAATTTGGACAAACGGGATTCAGAAATTGGAAAAATGCGTTAGCTGCCAAGAAGGGACTGCTTAAACACGAGAGCTCAAAAGCTCATTTAAATTCAATTACAATATGGCATGATAAAAATCAAAATATAAACAATGGTACAGAAATAACTAAAATGTTGGGAGGTGATCAAATTAATCGTAATCAATATTATATTAAATCAATATTTGATTTGATGCTGTTTCTTAGCATACAAAAGCTACCTTTCCGTGGGACTGGTTCAACAAATATTACGGATGCTGCAAAAGATGAAATCATAATTTATTCTTCTGAACTATTTATAGCAATGTTTTCCTACACCATCCAAAAAGACCCTGAATTAAATAAAATTATGAAATTTATACCCCAAAATTCCCAGTATACATCACCACAGATTCAAAACGAAGTAATATCCATTATGGCAGATATGGTGCTTGAACATATTTCAGACAAATATAATAAAAGCGAGATGCCTTTTTTTTGTCTTAAAGCCGATGAGACAAAAGATGTTTCAGGTTGTGAAAATCTGAGCATAATAATTCGCTATATTTTTTCTGGAGAAATCCAAGAAAATTTAATAGGAATCATTAATTTAGAGTGTCTTTCTGCTGAAAGCATTACAGATTGCATTTTAAAGCAACTTAATGATCTAAATATTAATTCAGCTAATATAATAAGCCAGGCATATGATGGTGCAAACGTTATGTCTGGCCGAAATGGAGGAGTGCAAACACTTCTTCAAAAAAAAATTAATAAAAATGTTCCTTTTATACATTGCTACAACCACAAGTTGCATCTTGTGGTTCAAAATTGGTATAATAATATTGTTATTATTTTTAATTTTTTTAATTTATCAAATGCATTGTATAATATTTTCAGGCGTTTTAACGTATCCTGTAAATAAACAGGCCACGCCCTTAAGAGACTTTTAGACCAGAGATGGACTGGTCATTTAGAAACATCTCGCATTATTTATGAGAATTTTGAGGCTATTGGTGAAGTATTATTTTACTTTTCTAATAGAACTCTTAATTCCGAGGTTTCAATTCATGATTCAGTCGAAGCCTCTGGTCTTTTATCTCAATGTATTAATATAAATTACATTATATTAGCCATCATAATTTATGAGATATTAATTACAATAGATCCACTAAATAAGTATCTACAATCAGTAGGTACTAATTTAGTGGATGCTAAAAATTGTATTGATTCTACTATCAATATATTAAAAAATAAAAGAAGTGATAATTCTTTTGCTTTGATTATGATTAAGGCTGAAAAACTTTTATCAAAATTTAATCTCACTCCCCAAAAATCATCACGGTACGAAAACGCCTAAAAATTTCCAAGATTTTTTAGTTGATAGCAAACTAGAATTCGATTGTGAAAAAGACTCCAATTGGAGTTCTTTAAAAAGGATATATTATGAAATTATAGATAACTTTGTGGATCGTTTTTTAGACCGATTTACAGAAGA